GATGAGCGCCGGAGCCGCCGCCGGTCTCGTGCGAATTGCCGAGGCTTCTGATTGCGTGCGCTGCGCTCTGGCCAGGGCGGCCACCTTCCGCCGCGTTCCCTCTGCTTGGCCGGCGTTCTTGTTATCGTTGGAGCTGGGTCTGCTTCGTCATCCAAGACCAAGAGGCAGGCGTTTCCTCTCGGGTACCCGCGTGCGCCGGAGCTACTCCGGAGAAACCCCGTGCCGCCGCCGCCGCAGCCGCCGATCGAGGCCGTGGTTTCTTCGCCCGTGCTCTCGCGCACCAGTCCCTCCGGAACCGCCATGCCATCCCTGTTCTCTGGAGTCGACAATGCAGCCAAGCTGAATCTTTTGTGTGTGTATGTGCGCGTGTGACTGTAAGTAGCAGGTGTTTTGCTGTTGCATTAAGTACAGGGTCAACAACAGAAATAAGAAAAACCCGACAGTGTCAACAACACTTCGGCTGTACAAAAAAATTGGAACAGAACTACTCTTAAAGCCTCCATCAGGAAGCTAAAGCCTGCACTCACTACCTCCCAAACATTAGCAGCCGTAGTATTCTGCTCTCTGAAAATCCTCTTGTTTCTCTCATTCCAACCAAATATGCCATGCAGCTACAGCCGCACAAGCCACCTACACTGCTCCTCTTTGCACTTTTCTTGTCAGAATTGTTGATCTTCTTCCACCATCATCCAGGGATCGAGCTTACAGAGAGAGCATTGCTCGCTAATCATGGATGGTGAGAGCCAGCAAATGCTTGACCCGTGTCCGTTTGGTTATGTTATCGATGCTTCTGGTTATTAGTAGAACGGGCATTCAGTGGCGTGCTGTCTTATATACTCCCTCCGTCCCATAATATATTATGGGACGGAGGGAGTAGTTATTTGTTTTGTATTGGGGAAGTATTTCAGATCTATGTTTTTGGTATAGTCGCGCTTCACATTACCAAAAAAAATATGGCCACACCACTTTTTTTTTTTGGCAAAGTGGCTTTACCACATGATGTAGAGGCCTGGAGGATGATCCAAAAAACCGTTCTTGATCGATAAGCCTGACAACTACTGCTGCAACGCAAGTACAGCACAGTTGTCAGTCTTGTTCAAGCTATCAATCTGGATGCAAGTCAAGTATCTGCTCTTATTGCATTGTTGCTACTTTCTATTTTACTCCTAATATTGTAGCTTTCCTCTGTCGAGCACATAAAATTCGGTTCTTTCAAATATCTGTATGATACTCGCCTGCTTGTCTATAGAGTTCCTCTTGTGACCATCTTTTTGTAAGCAGTTTGCCGGGAATGTATTATGAATAAAATAGATGAGGAGGAGATCGAAGCCTGCCCAGTGTGCGATGTTGCTCTTGGGATCACTCCTGAAGAGAAACTCCGGTAAGTAATTGTTAAAATACCAAGGTTATCTGCTGTACAACATTGTTTTTCCAACTTGTCAGTTCTCTTTTTTCTTTAAATTCCTGTATAAGTACACCTGCATAGCGTTAATAACATGTGAGCATAAAGAAGTGGTGCTGCCACTTTTTAGGCCTTCTTATCACTAATAGTACATATAGTGGATGTCAAAATGAGCCATTTGGAGGTTCTACGGATACTAAATCAAGTAAGAATACATGATCCAAAATCTTCTGTTCATCTGTAACAATAGAACAAATTCTATAGTTCTCCGGCTGCCTCAAAATGGCTCATGCTGGAAGTCCTCCGGCTTCTTTCATCTCAGTAATAATTGGGCCAACACAAAATTTTGTGGCTCCTCTCCCTCCTATTGCACGTGGCAGAGCATCATTGGATAAGTCGGCAGTTTGCCTCAGGGTCCACGTACTAAAGCCCCGCATCAGCGGCCAACAGTTTTCGTACTGCAGCCGACTGACCAGACCCCACAGTCCCACACTCCTGTCCTTGTTTCTGTAAGTTTTCCCTTCGCCGATGACGCCCAACTGCAGCCTTAAGAACTTGGCAGTATATGTATAGACTATAGAGCAACAGATGGCCAGAATGGAGAAAACAGACTAATGAAATTCATGTTTGATCCTCTTAGTTTGATCCTTAAAGTAATAGGAGTTCATATACATTTCCATTGTGTTTTGCATTTTAAAATTTGTGCCTTTCAGTAAAATATGGTGTTCACACACACCATTTATTAGTAGCTGCAGAAACAATTAGTTCATTTGAACCCTTATATAATACAGTAGAAAAGTGCACTTAACATTTTTGTGAAGAATAAGAGTATATGTACGACCCTTATACAGCAGAAAAGTGCACCTATTATTTTTGTGAAGAATAAGAGTATATGTACTGTTAATATCTCTATACACATTTAAATTAAAAATAGTTCCTTCTGGATATTAGTTAGAATATACTAGCTTATAATTACACTCCTGTGGATTCTACTGTATAAATCTTGCGTAAGATGTAACAGCTATCACAGCTCTTCGTGCCGACTGCCTGCTACATTGTTATCTTGTCTAATAACACTGGCTGAAATACACATGCTTGCTAAAAAGTGTGTATACATTTTTGTTTGGTGAAGCAAAATCTTAGAATTCCAGCCACCATCATTCTTTTTTTTCCTGCAATCTCGACTCAGGTACTCAACTATATGCTGCTACCTAACATGATTGATTGGTTCCTTGTTTGAAGGGCTGATATAAGTATTCAGGCTATCAGAAATTATTTGTTTCCATCTAAGGCAGAAGTAGATGCTTTTGAGGCTCCAACTATTACATTGCCAGCGAAGAGAAAAGAGAGGTCCATTTCTTCCTTGGTTGAAACCCCAAAGATGGCAACACAAACTACTCTGACAGGACGGAGAACCAAAGTTGCAAGAAGGACTATCACATCCCAGACGTTTTCTCTCAGTAAATTGCCAAATAAATCTGAAGACCGCGATCAGATGGCTGAGAAGGCCTCGGCACTAAAATCTACCAAGATGACAACATCTGCAAATAAAAAACAGGTAGTATTGAAGTGTTATCAACACATAATTCATATGCAAGTTTTATGCCAGTTGTCTTGTAACATTTTCTTATTCTAATTACACTTCCATCCCAAACAGAACACTGTAGATATTTCTGAAGATGGAAAGAATCGCGGGACGATTGACAAGGAAGAGCTTGAGAAGCCCTTACGGAGTCTAGTCGTGGCAAGCGCGAAGAAATCGCAGAATCCAAGTTCTTGTTCCAAGGAAAGTTCAGAAGCCCTTACGGAGTTACGGAGTTTAGTCGTGGCAAGCGCGAAGAAATCGCAGAATCCAAGTTCTTGTCCCAAGGAAAGTAAAACAACCACAGAGCATACTCCGAGGGAAAGCCCAGAAGCAGACTCGCATGATGGAATAACAACCCAAGTCTGGTTTTCACTAGTCACTTCACCGAACCAGTAAGACCTCTTGCAGCATATTCAATATATATACTGATTCTGATGGACCATGTGTTTTGTGTTGTCACATCAAAATGAAAATTGTTTTGCAGGGTAGAAGCTAAACTGTTGCCTCAGCTAGAAAAGAATTTCTACAGAATCAAGTGAGTTCCTCTTTAGGCTTCAAGTTTCCTTGTCACAATGATATAGGCCTCTCATACTTAGCATCCTCTTAATCATAGCATATGTTGGTGGAGATATTTTCCCAGCTTAGATGGCTCAGTGTGCTGATGCCCCTTTTCCTGTTATCTCTGATTGTTTTTTACTAGATGCATAGATTGCTCTGGTATTAGCAAGAGTTCTTCTCTTCATCTCAAAATATGAAGGTGAAGAACCTAGAAAAACAGTGGTCTTGTGAATTTTTATGACCGGTGGAGAGGATATTTCATCCGAAAATCCTGCATGCTTTTTTTTCGTTCATTCCTACCAGCAATTCAGTTTTCGCTGATGTAATAACATGTTAGTAGATTCCAAGAATTTAATACATTCTGTTCTTCAATATGATTTTTTCTTCTTGTTTCAGAGATGGAACTATGCGGGTATCCTCCATCCTGAGGCTGATTATGAAAAAACTTGAGCTAGCAAGTGACGATAAGGTGGGCCTTTTTAGATGTCATTGTACTTCCATTTTTGATTGCTTTCACTGCACAAACCCTACTCAAGTCTGTGCCTTGCTATCAAGGTGCTTGCTTCCATGTACTACATTTACCGATAAATCTGGATTTTGCTACATTTCTAGATTTTGTTTTTCAGAAATTGTGAAGGGGCCACTGTCCCCATTTGATTTCCATTGAAAGGAACCACCCTGCTGCATTTGTAGATTTGGATGGTGACATAGTAGGATTTAATTGCACCATTTTTCGGTTCAAAGCTCCCAAAGAATGCGTCACTAAAACATTTTGCAGCTCAATGATCCATCCTATCATATCTCCTCCTGTTAGTGAGTGTGCGTGAGTCTGTGTGCCCACAAACCGAGAGTATGTGAACCTGCTCTTTTGTTTGACCCCTTGTGTATACGCTTGTGCAATTGCAGGTGGAGATCTTATGCCACGACGAGTCGGTGTGCCCCTCGACGACGCTGCACGGCCTACTCGAGCGGTGGCTGAGCTGCAAGCCGAAGGACGAGGTCCTGAGGCCGGTGGGTGCTCCGGCGAATGAGTTTGTGATGGAGCTGCGCTACCGCCGGTGCCCGGGGTCCAGGCCCCTTTGCTGCACGACGAAGATAGCGTCCCTCCCCTGCCATTGCAGCACCTAGCTCCTCCGTCGGTCATCCGCTCATGCTCGTCGTTCAATGGTCCATCAGTCTGCCTACCTAGGATATATTATACATATAGTATTCTCACTCTATACCTGCATATCTTTCTCAATTTTGTTGGACCGTGTAAAGAGAGAAGGGGCAAAAGAAAGAGGTTAGCATAGCCGTAGATTTGCTAGACAAAGAATACGAAAAGTTTATGCTGGCTACATTTTTGGTTTACGGTTATCACAAGACCTCGCAGACAAAATTCCTCACTGCTTGTTCCTCTCCTCTCCTCTGTCTCCTTCTTGTGGTAATTTTGTTTCTTACCCACTGTGCATGGCTGCGCGGTAGCCCTGATTTGGTCAAAAGATCTCGTTCTAGGTGAGATTCCTTCGGTTTGTCCTGTGGTGGTCTAATGGTTTTGGCTGGTAACGGTCTACGCCAGGGCGTGGCCTGCAAAGCTGCACACCGAGCAAGCTGAACAGCTACCTCCACAGGTCATTCTGATGGGCTCGTCTATGTCTATGTCTAAGGGCATCTCCAGCCGCGCCCCCAAGAAGGCCTTCCCAGGCGTTTTTTTTGCGCCGGCACCGGAAAAACGGCCCAGTCGCGCCCCAGGAGCCCGATTTTCGCCGGCTTGGGCCGAAAACAGCGCCGGCGGACCCAGCCCGAACCCGGCGCGCTGGGGGGCGCCTGGGGGCGCCAGGCAAACTGTTTTGGCGCGAAAAAGCCGCGGGCCCGCCGCGTCAGCGTGACGGCTCTCTTCTCGGCCCTTCGTCGTCCTCATCGCCTCGTTTCCCGCGGCGAATCAATGCCAAAGCTGCCGCGCTGCTGCGCCGGTCAGCCTGCACCATTGATGCCTCACGGGCGGCGCAGTGAAGACCGGACGACGCGCGTCCCTCGCCCTCCCTCGCCCGCCACGCGTACACACGATGACACGCGCGCCTTGGCCTATATATGAAGCGCCCCGGCGCACTCGGCGACTCACACTCTCCCGCCGCCGTCGTTCCTCCCTCTCCTCTCCTCTCTTTCGCCGTCCCCAGTTCACACCCATGGCCGAGCGCTTCCCAGGCGACGGCGCAGCGGCGAACGGCTTCGGCCGCCGCCATCTTCATGAAGACGAGGCTCGCCTCCTTTACGAGGCCGAGTACCCGGTCCCGCCGGACATGCGGGTGCCCGGGGCGTGGAGGATCAGCGCGGGCGGCGTGCCCCCGGCACCGACCGGCGCGGCGCGACGTGCGGAGATCGCACGCATCCGCTCGAACCTGCCGCGTGCGGCGAGGGAGGGGCCACGGTACGTCCCCGACAGCCCGCTCTGGGAACCTTACTTCCGCCGCCGTCAGGCCGAGCAGCTCGAGGCCACCAACGGCGTCGTGCCCTCCGGCAGGCTCAACGCCGCCGGCCGGCGTCTGTGGTGGGGCGTGCCCGGGCGCACGTTGGAGGCCGTCCTCGAGTACATCGAGGGCGGCAACACGCCGCGCCTCGAGTACCCCGCTCCCCCTTCCTTCTCACGCCGCCGGGGAAGCTCCTGGACCCCGAGGCGCATGGAGACCGGGGGAGGAGGGGGGTCCTCCTCCTCGTCCGGCGGCTCGCCCTGCCTCCGCCCCGTCAAGCCGGAGCCCCAGGACACGCCGGTCAGCGCGCGCACCCGCAGCTCCGGCGGCGCCAACGCCTCTCCACCCACCGGCCGCTTCGTCCTTGCCGAGCCGAAGCCGGAGCCCGTCCTCCCCGCGGAGTACGAGGAGATAGCCCGGCGCGGCTTCTCCGACGAGGATGGCATGCGGTGGGCGCGGGACGACTACCTCCGCGACGAGATGGTCCGGCAGCGCCGGGCCCAGGAGGAGATCGCCGCCCGCAAGCGTGGGCGCGAGGACGAGCACGGCATCGTGGTCCTCGACAGCGACGACGACGACGACGACGACGCCCCCGGACCGTCCAACCCACCGCGCCAACCGGGGGAGGGATGCAGCAGGGACAGCGGAGGCGGCGACGATGACGACGATGATGATGACGACGACGGCGGTGACTACACGCGGTTCTACCGCCTCCTCGGCATGTAGAACCGCATGGGCGGGCGGCGAGGGAGACGGCGGGTGGCGAGGGAGACGGCGGGGGTAGCCCGCGGTAGTTTTTTCTTTTTTTGTAAAATATGTTTAAGTTTGAACGAACTCGCCGATGTTTGCTTAAATTTGAGTCGTTTTTGCGCCGTGTTTGACTTTTTTGACTAACCGTGGGCGCCGCGACTGGGGGGCATCACGCCCCCAGTGCGCGGTTTAGCACCGGTGCGTCCCCATGGGGCGCTTTTTTGCCCCTCCTGGGGGGCCAACGGCTGGAGATGCCCTAAGCCGTTGACACTTTTTAAGTCTTATTCAATCCAGACAAGTGAAACAGTGCAGTGAAAGTGTCACTTACACCTTTTTATTCAGAAAAGCGAACGTTACACTTCTTTACTAAACTAAAGTTCGGAAATAAAGAAATATTGCAGTAAACTAAAGTTGATTGGACGCGTATAGGCAGCGCCCCGTCGCCTGGGGTGGTCTAGCGAGCGGCCGTCCATTTTAGGTAATTGCTTGTCCTCCTTCTTAATTAGAAAAACTTTGTCATCTAATCTATTTGTTTACGACGTATTAAATGCCAGCATAGTAATCTCCTCCTATGCATGTTTTTCATCTCTTGGACATTTAATTTGTGATTTCAAAACTTTAAAAGGCGTAACTTTTAATCCACGCATCGGAATTATGATCCATTTTTACCATTGTAATCTTTGCGACGTGCTCTTCGAAACTAGATCCCACATGGGTATGTTTCGAAGAAATTTTCTTTGTGCAATTTTGTCCCTGTTTTGTGCAACTGACTAGCCTTCGATGCGCAACCACTAGTAGAAAAAGGGCCATTTGTCCCGGTTCATAACGACCCTTTAGTCCCGGCTCCAGAACCGGGACTAAAGGCCATCCACGTGGCCGCTGTCTGGAGCTCCACCTTTAGTCCCAGTTGGTAACACCAACCGGGACTAAAGGTATTTTTACGAATTTTTTTTTGTTACCAACCGGGACTAAAGGTATTTTTATGAAAAAAAAATTTGAATTTTTTCGATTGTCAAATTTCTGAATTATTTTCTAATTTAATCTCTAATCACCCCTCATCATTCCAAATCATCTAACTTCCCGGCCGGTCACCCATCCTCTCACTACTCCAACCTAAGCACGCTTAACTTTCGGGTTCTATTCCCCCTCGTTTCCATGTCTGTACTTGTTGTTTTCCTGACAATAGTAATATGTCAATCCTATTAACCCTCAGGAGTTTAGCTTGAGCATGAAGTCACACAGTTTCACTGTTTGAGTTTGAAACTATTATTCTAAAAAACAATAATTATTTAGTAACACTAATATTTCTTCAATAAGTAGTTTGACCACAGTTTGACCAGATTTGACCAAAATTCAAAAATTTGAAATAATTATTTAGTAACACTAATATTCTCGAATAATTACGTAGTAACACTAATATTTCTTGAATAAGTAGTTTGACCATAGTTTGACCACAGTTTGACCAGATTTGACCAAAGTTTGACCAGATTTTACCAAAATTCTAAAAAATTGTAATAATTATTTAGTAACACTAATATTATTGAAAAATTATTTAGTAACACTAATACTTCTTGAATAAGTAGTTTGACCAAAGTTTGACCAGATTTAACCAAAATTCATTTTTTTTGAAATTTGAGCATAACTTTTTTCCTTTTAGAATTTGAGGATTCTAAAAATTTGCAAACAGGCCATAGGCGGTCAAAATCGGATGCGGATTTTCTTGCTGAACATTTTGATATATTATATGTTTTTTTGACATCGTATGCAAAAGTTATAGCCGTTTTACATTTTCCCTACACTTTTTGCAAAACATGTCCAAATTTAAGTTTTTAAATTTTCCTAACTAGCACATGTAGTAACATAACTACATCTAGAAGGATTTTAATTTTTGAAGTTTTTATCATTTTCTTTTGCTTTTTACAAAACTAAAAAGGCGATCCACAGGAGGGGGGGGGTAGAGTTTGAAAATGGGACCTTTAGTATCGGTTCGTGACACGAACCGGTACTAATGCCTCAAACCCCATTAGTACCGGTTCGAGCTACCAACCGGTACGAACCGGTACTAATGGGCATCGCACCCTTTAGTCCCGGTTCGTGGCACCAACCGGGACTAAAGGTCATATTTAAACAGGAACTAATGCTTGTACGGTGCCCTAGCCGCTCGAACCGGGACTAATGCTCACATTAGTCCCGGTTCGTAATGCAACCGGGATTAATGCTCTTTTCTGGCCGAACGAAAGCCCTGTTTTCTACTAGTGAACTAACTGACATAGATGTGCAATTTTTATCGTACACCGTGGACGTGCAGTTTTCCTCTATGGTACCTCCACCCCAAACTACCTCCTTCTAGTGAGATGTGCAACTTCGTTTGTTGTCCAGGCCATGCCGTTTTCACTAGTGGCACCACCTCAAACTACTCTCTAACAGTGAAAATGTGCAATTTCGTCTGTTGCACCGGTGCCCTGGCCAACTGCCTGGTAGTCGCCGCGCGTGTGTAGTCCCCACAACCGCGTTTGAGGGACTACCCTATATATAAGAATGTCCCAACTCCACGGCCACGCATGTGCGACTATGCACACAAGAGAGTGCAACTCCATGCTCGGACGTGGGCACCTCCCACAACAATTCATGTTTGACTATGCAAACGAGATTGTGCAACTCTATGTCCATACATGTGCGCCTGCGCCGACGAGAGTGTGCAACTCCACGACCATCCGTGAGCACCTCCCACGATAATTTATGTGCGACTATGCGAACGGGATTGTGCAACTCTGTGACCATGCATGTGCAACTATACCGATGAGAGTGTGCAACTCCGCAGCCAGGCGTGAGCACCTCCCCCAACAATTCATGTGCGACTATCCGGACGAGATTGTGCAACTCTATGGTCATGCATGTGCGACTATACCGATGAGAGTGTGCAACTCCGCG